GTAATGGCCAAAGATGTTGATCGGTTCGACCTAAAACCATATTGGCAATCAGAGAGGATTTTATATTTGTCAATAAATGTATCTAATCTGTTATTAAAGAGTTTTTCCAGAATTTTTGAAAATTGTGACAACAGAGAAACCGGTCTATAATTTGTGAAGTTGTGCTTATCACCAGATTTATACAGTGGAATAACCTTTGCTATCTCATATCTCATATGAACATTAATTTATGACTTATTGACGAGTAATTTTCTTCCATCCAGTCATTAAATTTTTCTATACTGGCTCCAGGTGCTCTATAAATACAACTTATTACAACATTTTTCTTTTTTTCTACGAGTATTTCTACAGTCACACACAAATTATCCACCACCCTAGACATTTTCTCCACTCTCTTATAACAAAAGTTTTTATCTATGTACAAGGCCACACCACCTCCCATCTTATTTTCTCTGTTTGTGCATACCAAGTCATAGCCATCAAGGTCAAAATCTATTCCCCTTACATTATTAATCCATGTTTCAGAAATAGCAATTATATTAAAAGAATGTGTAAGACTACTAAGATAATGTTTTATACTCTGAAAGTTTGCGTATAAACTTCTGTTATTGAAGTGAATTAATGATAATTTGTTTTCAGTCTTGACATTGCTGTTAAACTGCTCATCCGTGTAATACTTGCAGTTATTTTTCAGGGTCAAAATCATCGTCCGATTCATGATAATGTTGTTCAGTGTCTCCAATTGTGTTCAATTCCAGATCCAGTCCCTCAAAAGCTATTAACCTCTGTAGTTTGCTGTATGGTTGGCCAAAAAACAGCACAATGAGCATATTACTGATGTGGATAACACTTGCAACCTGCTTCCATCATGGCATAAAATGCAACCCTTGTTTATAACACGGAAGCTGTGCTCAAATTCCATAAAAAGTACAGATTCTAGCCACGTTTTGAGTATATCATGCATTCACATGGAAAAAGTGATGAAATTAAGTAGACCGTATTAAATATGTCAGCATGCTTATGAAGTTGCCATAATTTCTGTGGTGTTAATGGACACTTGTATGACAATGTAGTGCACAAAAGAAAATAAAAAAGCAGCCCACAGCTGAAACAATTTAAAACAAATTGTGCTAACACAGGTAGGAACATTCTTATGTGTAGCTAACATGCTCACTGCAGTGAGATGTGCTCAACTGCACAAGACATCCTTATAATTGTAAGGAGCAAGGAAGCAAAAATTCTTGCAAAGAGGCAACTTTTCTTTTTAAATACATAGTTTTGCTTTCTGTTCATTATCAGGTTTGGTTTCAATTGATTAATATTTGATCTCAAATGGGTTTTTTTTGGCTGCAAAGACAGTTTGTTTGATTAAAGCTCAAAATCTTTGCTCTCCAATATGTTTTTTTAATTGTAAAGTAAAGAAACAAAACAAGTCATCATTTACAGCTTCTGGGACACGTTGAATTACAAGACAATCTGTGACCCAATAAGTGGTGTGTTTGTAATACATCAATAGATGTAATCATGAACAGGATATAATGACACGTTCTAGTTACACAGGCATTACCTGTTGGTAGGGTCAGTTGTTGTTGGTTTAGGGTTTTTTGACAATAATAAAAACATATAGCGAGCTTAGATAAAAAAATCCCCTTACAGATAAGCTGCTGAGTGGCATATAGCAGTCAAGCTGGTCTGTCTGGCACAATTTCTTTTCTTTTCACTACCTTCAGTTATTGCCATTGTGCTTGTGACCTTATCACTGACATGGCAAAACAATACTGCTGGCCTTGGCTTATGTTCAACAGGCTGAAAGAAAAGAAACGGGGCCAGTGCAGGGAAATGCTGGACTAAGCAGTAGCTGTTACCTTGTTAGGGCTAGCGCTCCACAGTGATGTTTAAAACATGAACTGCACTGTCATTTAGTGCGTAATTTGACTGAGGTGTGACAAGGTCAGAGAAGGTGGAGCAGCCAGAGTGGAAGGGTTGTGATCGTTAGGATTACATTAACTAGCATTAACTTATCATTGCCTCTGTAACTCCATCTCTGTTTTTCTTGAAGACGTAATAGCTCCTGATTCCCAAGGCTTTGCATCTTTTTCTAAGCTATGCATTATATTTCTCTCTTGCTACCTGTCAATTGCTCTGAACCTCACTCACGCTCTGCCTGACTCGCAGTCACACATGTACACAAACCCTGTTCCGTTTTACAAATGACCATGGTTAGGAATTAATAGGATTGGACTGAGTTGAAATTAATTGTAATCAGGCTTGAACAAGGAAGAGCCTTTTCATTTTGCACCACTCCTCAAACAAGAAGTGCCCCTTCCAAGACACACACACTTGTACGTCTATCTTTGTAAGGACACTCATTGACATAATGCATTCCCTAGCCCCTAACCAAAGTCTAACCTGAACCCTAAATCAAGTCTTAGCCCTCAAAAAGCTGACGAATAAAGTGAGGACTGGCCAAAATGTCCTCACTTTCCAATAATGTTCTCACTCTGTAGCAAAAAATACTTTTTGGTCCTCACTGCGTAGTGAGTACAAGAACACACACACACACAACATTTGAGTAGACATTGTATTGTGATATCATTTGACAGCTAAACTGAATTTTGTTTAATAAACATCAGCTGTGCCTTTGACTTTAATACCGTACTAATGAAGTCCCTGACATCCTCATTCACCTGTCTTTTTCATTTTGCTGAGAATTTAAAGCAACCATGTGTGCCCAGCTAATACTCTTGCTCACAATAAAAACACGTTTGTCAAGATTAAAAGCATTGTGGTTTCAGTGTCAAGAGCCTTTATGAAAATCTGGTACACCCTCATCATTATCTCCTCCTCTGAAGCACCTCTCCTCTGCTCCTCTTTCCCCCTTATTCCCCAGTTTATCATTTACCTCATAATAGTGTGTCAGAACAGCCATAAGCTCATCCAGGAGTAATGCAATTTGTATACCTCTCCTTTCTTTATATCTCTGCTCCATCACATTCATTTTCCATCTCATTTGAACCTATAGGACATACTGTAGCCTGTAACACAGTCCACATGGGGATCCTCTTCAAATGCCTGTGCCACCATTCTACTTTTTTCTCAGAGTGAATTCACTGAATCCATATCTATTTTCGTTTAACATTCCTTGTCTTCTTATTCTTATTTCAATCTCTACAGCAGTGTCGAATTTTAACTTATTGCACTTTTTGGAACTTTTTACTTTCCCCTGAGGCCAGGACAAAAATTATGTTATAGCCCCTACTTATGCATCATGAGAATAGCTGTAATATAACTGGCAATCCTGTACATTATATGAGCCTTTTGGCTATCCTGAGCTCAGAGCCTCAAACAGCTCCCTAGATGGTCCCTGTCTGACTGCACTAGATGTTTTTCATCTTACCTATGGGCGACAGCTCCGCTACGCTGCCAATATATGGACCCTCCAAGAACTTGGGCTCACTGTCATTGATGTCCTGGACCTTGATGACAAACTCAGACTCTGGTTCCAGAGGATCATTGGAGAGCCGGTCCCGGGCCTGAGCCCTAAGTGTGTAAAAAGCCTTCTCTTCACGGTCTAGTTTCTCTGTGGCGTGGATGTCTCCAGTTAGTTCATCAATGAGGAAGATGGAACCCGCCCCTTCACCAGAGATAGTGTACTTGATGTTGCCCTCACCCTCGTCTGAGTCTGTATGGATCTGTAAATTGAAACAAAATTAATAAAAATTATGTATTCAGTTTTGAGACAGTACTTTATCTGTAGCTAATGTAACTTAATTGATTCAAAAGCATTACTATATTATATATTAGCCCCAGCCTAAGACAGTTTGTGTACAGGCTTTTCTGATGACTTGTGTGTTGCATTTTGTTTCATATATTCAGTATTTGGTGTGATTACATTTGATGGTTTGCTATGGGCAGAGAAACACTAAGCCAGCGTGAAAGAACTAGCAGCGATGAAGGCTGACAATTGCATTGCCTCGCATCGCCTTTGAAAAAGTGGCATCTGAAGACATTGAACAGCCAATGGCTGACTAGCATGTACGTTCTGTGCCTGTATGAGAGAAATAACTCCCCTGACCAGCAAGCGGCGGTATCTGTATTCACCATTCAGAAAGGGAAAGAAGAAGAGTTAGACTGCAGATATACAAAGCACCTCCTGTTCAACATGTAGCTGCTTCTAATTGGGAATATGTCTGATGAGAAATTACAAATGACACTGCCATTCCATGCCTTTGGTCTTTTTTTTGTGGAAGGAGGTTGTGGAGGCAAAACAAGGAGAAACTGCACTAAACATGAAATCATGGATACTATAGCAACATGTTGAAGAGGCTTTCCTGAAAGATTCTCTTCTTGGTATTGATTCACTAAGCTGAACAGCCATCAGAGCGTTCTCTCTCACCAACGAGGCCCAACAGGCTGACACTGATTCAATATGCCAAATCAGTCGAAAAGCTGCTGACAGGGTCTGACTAGTGCCAGCGGAGCAGGACACACCGGGAAGACAAGTCCTGACAGACGCTCCACCGATGGCGGCCAATGGCCATGGTGTGTCCCTGACCTAAAAAGCACTGACCAAACATGCGGTCAACTTCAGATGATGTGAACACCAGACCAAAGGTGTACACAGATTAGTGTTCAGGAGTCAGTGGACATCTTGGGAAAGATCAAGGAATCTGATGCCAGAAGCTATTGTTTAACTAAGACAACAACTATGAGCCTCCCCTTACAAATGACCTCTTGTTATCATATTACGGATATTCCACATGAGACAGCTTTGTTCACAGAAGACTAGTATGTGGACCCTGAGTTGAAGATATTTGTCACACAACTGCTGTAAATGCCCATAGTTTGTATCATTGATAGTTGTCAGAAAATTACATTTGGCCATCAGCCGTGACCAAAAGAAATGATTACATTTCCTCCACCCATTCCCTTATCATGCTTACCAATAGCTATTGTGACTCAAGGCCTTCTCCGAGTTCCTCATATACACCACAGTTCTAGCGATGATTTACAGATTTTCTGCACAATGTGTCCTTCACGGGAGATCAAAGTCATTTCAAAGATTGTTAAAGGTAGAGACACAGAGGTGCCAGGGCTCCAAAGTTAACTTAAAAGAGCCCTTATAAATCAGAGCTATACTGTAGTTCCCCCTAATGTGATTAGAAGTCATTCCAGAGGCAGCAATAGGAGAAGCATCAGTCCCCCATCTCAGCCTCCTCTTCGGCTCTTTAGTGAGCACTAAACCTGCTCTCTCTCTCTCAATTACACACCTTCCATCCAAAATTCTAATTCAAGGCTGTGTATGCAGTGTAACTGCAATTTACTGGGCAGACCAGGGGGAGGGGATTTCACCCTGCTCTCCCTGGTTAATATTTTATAAAGGCTTAATTAAATACAGGCTTCTATCACCCTCACAGAGGTTTTCATTAAGTATTTGTTGTAAAACCATGGAATAATGCAAGTCTGTGCCTTGATATTGCCTCCCTCATCTCTTTCCTTTTATCCCTCTGTTTTTGCCCTTTCTTATCACTCTGAATCTTCCTGAAGACAAATACATGAGCAGTCAGAAAATATACTCCCAGATACTTTTACGATATTAATATTTCAGTTATAATAAAAGAAGTTTCATTGGTCCAAGCTGTGAGAGTTGTCCAATAAAAGTGTGCATACTCTGCCACTGGATGTTTCCCCCAGACACACTCTCTCATACCCTTTCTCTTTATTTCTAAATTAGATTCTGCAAACAAGAACGTGCACAAAATGTTGTCATCATGTGTTAATCCAATTGCACAAATGTCGTTAGCATGCATGCAACGTCCTACCTACTGCACACATGTGGATTCATCCACACACACTGTTACAGTACAATCCTGTGCACACTTGCACAGATACACAAAAGCAAACACACACATTCATATACAGTGAGTTATTCATTCTGCTGGGATGATGATATTTCTCCCCCCTTAGGGTGGATATACCCATCCGTCTGCCAGTCTATCCTCACTGGAGTGATTCAAGTTGGCAGCTTGAAAAACACACACACTAAGCTAAGTTGTTCTCTGCAATCTAAAGGTCAGATCCAGGACATCACTCACTTAGCAAAAAACAGTTGTGAATGCAAATGTACCCTTAACAAATTTACATGAGAAGAAAAAAGATTAAACACAAACTCTCCTGTACTTTAGAGCATAACCAGAATCATAGATGTGTCACTGGTCAAATCTTTGATGCATCTTTCTGAGCTTTTTGTATTTTAGATTATGCAGCTATGTCATCAGATAATACAGTAATAAGAGGTTTGTAACATACAGTGTACTGTAGTATCTCATCTTTGATGTCCATAATTTTTATTGGCCTGGTAAGTAGTATTGAGATAAGGGTATAAACACTAAAAACATACATCTGCTGACCCATAAAATTATCATAAATGCTAAATTGTACTCTATACAAAATGTAACTTTTGATTATCAAACACTCCCCCTGCAACCTAGAAAGGTGGCCATAAATGTCTGCAGTCTCCTCATTGACAGAGAACGGTAGCTTTAAGTTTTAGTTTAACTTCAGTCACAGCAGATTCCAGTGGTGACCTGTTTTCAGTAGGGGAAGG